CCTTATCACCTGAATCTCCTCCTAGAGCACCATTGTGTTCTTTTTAACCAAATATCTCTCAGAGGGGCGTGGGGAGTGGCTCCTTATTTTCATCTAAAGGCCCTGACACACCAAGCAGTCACCAGAGAACTCGCCGATGCCGACGCCGACTGTTGCGTTGCCGTGTTCTCCTGGGTCTTGGCCACGTGTCGCACTGGAACACACCGCTAAGACTTCAGCCGAGCACGTACGAACTGCGCTGTGAGTGGCAATAACTCTCCTTACCAGCAGGCGGCAGTAGTGTGTATTCGTCATTCAAAAGAGGCAATAACCGGAAGACAGAGAAGAAGAACAGACTGCTTGATATAAACAAACAACAAATAGAGTGTGCGTTCCATTTTAACTCTCGTCCATCGAAAACATGTTCCGTGGGGTACTGGAGCTATCAGCCATTGGAGTGTTGGTTGTGGAAGACATTTTCAAGCAACAATTTCGCTTCTCATGCACTGATTTGCTAGCTGAACAGCCAATCAGAGTGATTTCTTTGTCCGACTGCCAGTGGCCGACGCACGGCCGATTCAACATGTTGAATTCGGTGCGGGACACACCAAATTCAGTTTGGGCGACAGGGCACGCTTCGTCGTCCGACTAACGAAAACGGCCAATTTCGGCCTGGTGTGTCAGGGCCTTAAAGTAACAGACAGAGAATCAGCACTTTTGAAACAGGGCTGAAACAGAGGGGTTTATGGGATGCTACAATGCATGATTAGAGACATGTTTTGTATATGTCTGAGACCAATAATATATTGATGAAAAATAGTATAATAGGGAACCTTTAAGAACAAATTACATCACTATTTCAAGAATGTAACTGCCTGTATCTCTGGGTAAAATGGAGTTGTGGCTGTTGCAGTGGACTAGCTGACTTTAGAGTGATGGGGCATCACAGTGCGCAGCTGCTGAGTCAGGTCAGTGTGGATCGCCAGAGGGCATCCACTATATGGAGGATGTTCTTGTGTTAATGAAGAGATTGTTCACCACCTCTTGTTAGAGCACTTCTCGCCGCTTTGTTGAGTTTGCACAGATGGAAACAGAATCAAACTACGAGTCAGCACATTACAACGACAATAACCTCGACTGCTGAAGTAGATATATAGTGTTTGAAAAGTCATTGGTTCCTGTCCAGTACATGATAGGAAATGAGCTTCTAGCGGTTTACTTTAGTCATGATGGGCCAACTTTAGGGTGGAGGGCATAGAAGTCTTTGCTCATTTGGATAGGCAGATGCATATGATTGGATACTTTTGTCTTTTAATTTGGGTCATTGGTTAAGCATCATGTATGTTTGTAGTAAGAACTTCACGCTTTAAACAGCCAAAAGTGCTTTGTTTGCATATAGTGATCCAGTTTAACATTATCAGGGGTTATGGACAGTTAAAGGAGACCAAGTAAGGAAGGTATAGCTTGTTACATATATATCTTTCATCCCATTGGACAACAGTAAAGAGATGTTTTTCTGAGAGTTAGCATGTGTTACATACTGTTGATGCATGGTCAAAAACGTTGCTGAATAGCCAGATTATACTTGTTTTTGGCTTGCCAGGTAAACACAAACAGCAGCAAACAAGGCTGTGCTAACAGAAACATGTCAATCCACAATGCACCTTATAAAAATTATGTTCAAACCATCCACAATGCCTTTCCCCCCCCCTCCTTATTGATTCTGCTCTCAAACCTCACTCCAGAGTGTGCGGGAGGACATAGCCAAGCCTAATATTTCACTTCATGTAAATACTCATATGTTTCGAGCAAATTGGGCTCTCCGCTCTTCAGTTGATGTCGGGTCACTGCTGACACCAGCTGAGGAGTAAATGAGCAGCAAATAGCTCATTGAGTATAACATTAACATCCTAACCCAGTGTTTTTCAAAGTGGGGGCCGCCAGGGGGCACCAGGGGGGTCACGCAAAGTTTGAGGGAAACAGGATTTTTATTTGTTTTAAAGTTTAGATGTTATTAATAACTGTATATCTATCAATCTATGTGTCCTTTGATGCCAATCTTTTAATATTTTTAGTGTTTGAATCACACGACCGCCTTTCAAGCCAATCAGAATCAAGCTGCTGCTACTGAGNGTGAGAGAATGATAGTGTGTGTGAGAGAGAATGATAGTGTGTGTGAGAGAGAATGATAGTGTGTGTGTGTGTGTGTGTGTGTCGTGTGTGTACGTAGTGTGTGTGTAGTGTGTGTGTGTGTGTGTGTGTGTGTGTGTGTGTGTGTGAGAGAGAAAGAGAATGATAATGTGTGTGTGTGTGAGAGAGAGAATGATAGTGTATGTGAAAGACAACGCTTTTGTTTTTGAGAGCTTAAGACAGTTTATGTGAGAGGACATTGTACTGGTTGTGAGAGAGTATACTTTAAAAGGAAGTCAGGTTGATCCAACAACAACAAATAAGAACTTTTGGTAACACTTTATTTTAAGGTACACAAATTCACCATCAACTAGTTGTTAATTAACATGCTTATTAGCAGTATATTGGCTCTTTATTAGTCATTATAAAACACTTATTAATGCCTTATTCTACATGACCATATTCTACAAGTAATAGACCATTAGTTGAGAGTTTTTCCTCAATAACCCTCTAATTGGTGCTTATTTATTGCAAGTAGGGAAGTTGTTTGGTCTTAATATGCTCAATATGGGCCTAATAATATGATCTATCCTTATGTAACAAGACATGAAACTACAAGTGTTAATTCAATCTAAATAACTCAAAAGTAGGTATTTCTATCGAAGAATATGTTCCCTATTTTATTTTTCTCTCTGAGGGCCTAAGATATTCTAAAAAATCATATTTGAAAACATTACATTTAAAAAACATTTTACATTTAAAAAAATATTTTTTTTTCATTCGTTTTAGCTAAATAACTTGATTTAATTGTATTTAAAATAACATTTCCAAAGAAATAAATCCTTTGAATCTGCCTGTTCAGTTTCTGTTGGAATGTGAAGGGTTAAATGCCGTCTTTGTGAGTTATGTGAAGACTGTTGTGCACCGACAGAAATGCTAGAGGTTCATTTTCATGGTGTTTTATGTTTGTGTTGTCACTCACCATTTATCTCTCATTCCAGGCTTCCTGATTGTCCACCCCTTGTGTGTCTCCTATGCTCATCAGCGTCAGCCCCGCCCCTGATTGTTCCCACCTGTGTCTTATTATCATGTGCTTAAATTCCCCTGTCTC